CAAATCATATCCGGCAAATTGGGCTTTGTAGCCGGCGACTATGCTTATTAGCCGGTGGATTTTGCTGTGTAAAATTCCACCCCAAGCTGATGTGGGCTAAATGCGCGGCTGGGCATATTAGCCGTGGGCTTAATAGCCGGCGACTACTGTACTAGGATAAATGAAAATGTAGCCGAATATGAACACAGAAATAATAAATCCGATATTGCTTTTTATCTTGGACTGCCCTGCCATTTTTTATTCTCTATCAGTGTTAAGCATCACCGTGAATTATGCGAGCATGAATTATTCGACATGTGTATTCCACACATAAACTAACTAACCATATAAATTCGGTATATTTGAGGAACCAATTAGCTTGCACCCTTTAAATACCTTTAATCATATCAAAATCTATAGAAGCAGAAGTAACGTTCATAAGAGTTCATTCAGGAAAATATAGACCGTCGCATGGCACAGTGGTGTATCAATATTAATTTGTCACATAAGGCACGTTCTGCGGTAACATATGTGAATCAAGTCGGTGTTTATATGCTTCCACAGATCGGGAAAAACCAATCGCCTCAGGTAGGTTATTGCACGGGCCCACGATCCGATTAGAGAAAAAATAAACTTTCGCAAATCCAGTTGTTTTTGCGTTATATAGAGTTTTACAGGATGTCCCCTGATTAAACGCATGATGCGGTTAACCTACTGACCCTGATAGTCATGTTACCCATAGCCTATTATTTGCTTACATCTACATTTAAATATAATAATGCCACGAAGAAAGCTTAAATATCCGGTTTGAGCCATGTGTGTCCATTAAACAATACGCCTGTGAAAAGCAGTAATTGTTATTGTATGCAAGCGAATAAAATATGCCGACAATTACAGCCTGAAGTCATTCAGACCCAGTCCATACAATGCTAGTTAAAATATTTTTCATTTTCCGGAAAAACAATACGTGCCTGTATATAGTTATTATTTAGGCAGATTTTAAATTATGTCCACCAGTTAAAAATGTTTCGGAAATTTTGT